GACCCAAAAATTTTAGAAGTCAATAAATTTTATTTCTGATTGATTGCTCACCGGTTATATGATCCAGATGGATTGTTTACACTTTCTAGCAGCATAGTTGCATCTAAAAAGTAAAGAACCAAATTCCAAAAACGGTGTCAAAAACTGAGAAGCCAGTTTGTTGATCTGAAACAGGAAACACACAGAGATGGCGGAGGCAATACCTGAGGCAGTGAAAGAATTATGGGACAAATGGAACATCCGTGGTCTTGTCATCTTCAGTCTTCTTCTTCAAGCAATACTTGTTCTTCTCTCACCAAATCGAAAACGTACACCGAGGAGACTTTTTCGACTTCTCCTTTGGTCGTCTTACATTTTAGCCAACTGGGCGGCTGACTATGCCGTGGGACAGATCTCAGATAGCTCAGGAGACGAACCTGGGCCCAACGAGTCCCCCAAGACAAACGACCTCATAGCTTTTTGGGCAACGTTCCTTCTCTTGCATCTTGGTGGCCCTGACACAATCACAGCTTTTGCTCTGGAGGATAATGAGCTCTGGCTCAGGAGTTTGTTTGGTCTTGTGTGCCAATTCGTTGCTACTCTCTACGTGGTCTTGCTATCAATACCCAACAGTCTCTTGGAACCGACAATCCTCATGCTTGTGGCTGGAGTCATCAAGTATGCCGAGAGGATAAGAGCAATGCATGGAGCGAGTCTTGAAAGGTTCAAGGATTCGATGCTTGGGGAGCCCGAACCTGGAATCGATTACGCGAGGTTCATGGAGGAATACAAAATTAGGACGATTTCAAGAGAACGTAGCCAGTTGGTTAGGGTTGAGGAGCCTGAACAAAGAGAATGGGCACAAAGGCCAGACGAATTCACCAATCTCAATGTTGTTCAATATGCTTATAAATACTTCAATGTCTATAAAGGCCTTGTAGTTGATTTCATGTATAGCTCCGAGCAGTGGATAGAGAGCAAGGAGTTTTTTAAGTCATTGTCGGCAGAAGAGGCTTTGAGGATTCTAGAGGTAGAGCTCAGCTTCATCTATGGCACTCTATTCACCAAAGTTGACATTTTGCACACCTGGATTGGATTTTCTTTCCGCTGCACAGCCTTGGGATGCCTATTTGGATCCCTCCGCAACTTCAAAACATCAAGGAAAGATGGATTCGATGGTTTTGATGTTGCCCTTACTTATGCTTTGATCTTTGGTGGAATCGCCATTGATTTCATTTCCATCCTCCTATTCTGTATATCCGACTGGACATTTGCTAGATTGAGGAAGCCTAAGGAGGAGGTGGACAATGAAGATACCTGTTTCGACAGTGTTCTCAATTGGTTCCTCCGTTGGCCCCTCCGTTTCAAGGAGCTGAAGTGGAAGGATTGCATGTGTCACAAGCAAGAGCATAGCTGTCACGAGAAAGAATATCGCTCACACAAAGTGCTTGATAGATTCTTCCTATTTCGCAGATGGTCTGAGTACGTATATGCATACAACCTTATTGGCTCCTCCCTGAATATAAAACCAAAGAGAAAACACCATACCAAGGGGTACATACACAGATTCTATGACACCATCATTCCCAGCTTGTACGTAGATCGTGCAATCCAAGAAGCAGTCATAGCTTACAAAGCCTTAAATCACCTCCGCAAAAAGGTAGACCTATACATCAGTTCCCTGTTCATCTTCAATCGGGCAATGTACTATGTTCTTTACCCTGTCAGGCTTTTTCTTAGATTCTGGTTTGGAATTCCTTTGATCAACTATCTCTTGGAATTATTTGGCATCCCAGATCAGGTAAGTGAGATAGTATTCACATCTCGCGAACGCCTCACTTTAGAGTTTTGGGAATTCATATTTGCGGAGGTTAAGCGTAGATGCATCTATATTCCTGACTCAGAAAGTTCCAGCTATATATACTCGGCTAGAGGTGACTGGATTCTTCGCAAAATGAAAAGCGAGACGCTGCTGCGGTATGTTACTGAAGTGGATTACGATCAGAGCATTCTGGTGTGGCACGTTGCCACTGAGCTCATACACCAAACAGACGAAAACAATCCAACAGAGCTCGGATACAGAGAGGTCAGCAAAACCCTTTCAGACTACATGATGTACCTCTTAATCGCGCAGCCTGCTATGATGTCAACAGTTGCGGGAATTGATAAGGTACGATTCAGAGAGGCAATAGCAGAGGCCAAAAAATTTCAAGAGGCTAAAAAGCTGTTTCAGACAACACATGTTGAGGATTCAAGAGATGCAAAGAAGGCATGTGAAGCAATTCTCAGCTCCTATACGGCAGATGGGCAAAGAAACAAGAATGCCAAAGGGTATAAAGGCAAGTCTGTGCTGTACCAAGCGAGCATGCTAGCGAAGGAGCTTCAGCGGATAGAAATTCAAGAAAGCAATGATAAGATGTGGAAAGTAGTGAGCAAAGTATGGTTGGAGATGCTTTGCTACGCAGCATCTCACTGTGACTCTAAACAACATGCAGCACAACTCAACAGAGGTGGTGAATTGATCAACTTTGTTTGGCTTCTGATGGCTCATTTCGGACTGGGAGAGCAATTCCGTACCACCAAGGAAGATTCAAAAACCAGACTGATTCTGGTAAAACCCACCTCCTCTTCTCTTGTATAATAGATCTCTCTCTTTTTTCTTTTGGCTATTGCAATTTCAAACCAGAAAATCCGAAAATAGCATAGCCCGATTCGTGTTCTTCCCCACTTGTGTCTAGTGATATCTTCACTATCAATTTCACCTGAAAGAATCGTGTGAACACACTACTTGATCGAGATTTCCCGAACTTAGCTCCATTCTTCTAGACAACAGCATAATTTCAGGGTTCAGGAACCAAAATCAGATCAGACATCGATCGCCGGACGTCGGAGATTTCAGACACAAAACGATGATATACGACAATTTCTGCCGTATTATGGAATGGTAAACCGGATCAAATTGTACCGGTTCTGTCTAATCAGTCCGCTTTTTTTTTAATTTATCCAAAACGTAAACACGACGCCGTGTGGGTTATTTAGTGTTCATCTGAGTGGAAAAGAACTGAAAAGGAAGGAAAACGTACTAATTCACCCTCATATCAACTCTTCACAGGTCCCAAGCTTAATGTTCTCTTTCTCCGTCACGTTTCCTTTCATGGGTTTGATCTCAATGTCTCTTGCCTTCTCGTAAATCTTTGAAATATGCATCCTTTTGGTTTCTCTTCAGGTCGAGAACTGCTCGTGTGATAGAGGTAGCACCCAAGCAAAGGAATTGGTTATTCTCTGTTTTTGGGTCTCTCACCGATGGTTCTAGGTTAAACCCAGAAGAAGAATCAAATGATTCCTCAGAGGTATCAATGAAACTGTGTCTTAATGGTGTTTGTGTCTCTGTCTTTCTCGCTGAATTTTTTTGCTCCTCATAGGGACATGTTGCTTAAATAGATATTAAGCTACCTAGAAGAAGTTTGCTTGTGTAGTTTAGTTGCAATTCATGTGGAGAAAGAACAAAGCGGCTTATCAATCGACTGGCGTATGAACGTGGTCTTGTCTTTGTTCAGGCAAGGTCTTAATTTTGCTGCTTGATTCTGTTTCCTATAGCATGATCAACCTGCGCACACCACATGCTTGCTTAATTGTCCAAGAGAGATGCAAAGTGTGACAAAAAACGATAGTCTTTTTGTTGGTTGGTTGATTGCCATTTTTGTTCCTTTGGCAATGTGGAGGATGTCTTCTGCATCACAAACTGGTTGACCATCTTGGTCTCATTATTGAGTACGACTTCCGAAAAACCTCTAAGGATTTGGGTACTGATCAAGTTTGATAAGCTACATCGAATGTTGAATCAAAGATTTGTTCTTTTTCTCAGATATGTTCTTTTAAGCATGATTAGAAGTAAGCTATTTTTTAACAGAGAGAAGAAAA